AGTCCATCAGCTAATCATAGCACAACATGAAGACAGTATAATACTTCCATCAGCTAATCATAGCACAACATGAAGACAGTATAATACTGCCATCAGCTAATTATAGCACAACAGTAAGACAGTATAACACTTTTCCATCCACGTCCCCACAGGTGGGTTCAATTACTTTAGAACACCCTTTGACAAGACAAATTATTCTCCTTTATCTCTATCATTACAATACAAACTGTAAAACTCACATTAGAAATTGCCTGTTACAGCTAAACTGACACACAGTTTAACTTTACTTTCACTAACTTACCCACTTCTGGCACTTTGTATCTGTACATATTTATCTGTTTTAGCTATGCAGATAGATATGATGAAGGTATTTCGTATTGTTGTTTGTGATACTGCTGTTTTTAGCTATGCAGATCAATATGATACCACTGGGCAGCTAGTGGTATTTGCCAATCAGTTAAATGATGGGTCCATTAACCTTTCCAGATGAGTCACGGGTCAAAGGCCATGTCATCTCGTTTGTTCATTCAAAATTTTATTAAACTACTATTTCATGAATTTATGTCAATAAGTTTGGTATAAAACTGTAAATTATAATTCAAATCTTAGTATTATACATTATTCAATATCTTAATTTAAAAGTAAATATTAAAAAAACACAGTTAAACATTGATTTTTGTGTGTCATGTGATATGTTGAATGCAGCACTGGTTCAGATTAGATGCTTGTGATGTCAGAATACTAAGTCTATAGTTTCATATGAATTAGGAACTGAAATCACCGATATTGACGAGCTACAACATAAAATAAGAACCTCATATCTTTTCTGTTTGCTGAGATGTCGCTAGTACTGAATCAAACAGTGGCCGTGCTCACCTCTTTCCATTTCTGGAAACATCGAAATACAGCTTAGTTACAAAGTTTGATAAATTATAGTGGAATTCTGTGGTATCGATATAGTAATTTATGAGTTTTTAATTATTCAACTATATATATATATATAAAAATTCAAAAAAAATTATTTTGTTTCATATCCTCCACGTGTGAAATTTTAAAAGGCTTAGCAATGTATGTCAAGCAGCAAACAAATACAAAGGTCGAACTAGAAGAGATAATTGTTTGCTTTACTTCTTTATTTACTGTTTTATGTTTTAAGAAAAATAAGTTTAAGAACTTTTTTCTAAATAGTAATAATCTGTATATATAATGTATAATAATTGAAATGTGACCCCCACCCCCTCCCAAAACTGATCTACTTTGCAACATATTACCTCCTTCACAAGGCTGTTCAATTGTGGCTTGTCTATCACTACCATCACTGATTATCTGGTGGCATTATCTACTATCTTCTACTCCTTCCTGATCCACAGATCCCCCTCCTATCCTACTCCCTTGCCTGACTGAAATCTGAATGTGGTTCTACATGCTCTTATCTGAAACCCATTTGAACCTTTAACAACTTGTTTCTCTCTTGTTTGACTCTTTGGACCCAGACAGGCTCTTGTGTTCTCTCCAGGCTGTTAATTTTTATTTATCATGCATTTCCTCCTTTCAGACTTTCCTTCACTCTCTATTCATTCCTTGGGACCCTTTATCTACTAGAAATCACTCTCCTACTACCTTTACAGAATAGATTCACCAGCTCATCTGTATGCTATATGTCTCTTTGAGGATGAATGATCATAAGCCCTTCTATGTCTCTTCTTATTAGATTTGACACTGTCCTGTAGATGAAATTTTCCAGAACTACCTGTGAACTACCCCACAGAGCAGTTTCTGCTCACTTTTCTAGCATTCGCTTGTCAGCTTTTATAAATAAGGTTTTACTGTCACCCATTGCACTCTCTTCATTAACAGACCATTCCTAACTGAAAGATCTATAGGGATTCACAGATATTCTCCACGTTTTCCCCTAAACAAAATCTCCCCCCACCCCACCCCCCTTGTTGAGTGGATTACAGGACACCCTTGCCACTTAACACTTCCCATCACTGGGTTTGTAGACCATAAAGAATCCTCATCAATTGGGACCTAATCACTATAGCTACAACAAGATGTCCCTCTATGGTGAGAAGTGGGGCTGTGGTGACAACTGAGTGTAGCATAGGTCACCAGCAATATAACTGTTACAGCACAAATTTCCAATGGACCGATGATACAACTCTCTATACTGTTCCTTTCAATACCTTTGTCTTACAAATTCTCTTCCTGCAGTCAGTGTCTGTTCAGTAGAGTCCAGGTTAACACACTATTACCATTCCATTCTAACGAAAAACAAAATATACCTCACTCCAGCAACTGGTGAAGGTCTCTAGAGACTGACAGTTGTGTTGAGGTGTATATATGTATTTATACTGTATCAATATAATATGGTGCCCTCCTTTCGCAGCTAGCATAGGGCCTGTAGAACCTAACAGTAGAATTGAGTTAAGAGGTAAACACCCTGTACATACCAGTGATGTATCACTTGTATACCCTACTTCTGTGACAGGCAAGGAGCCTGTAGTGACTGTTCGTCAAACAGAGGTGTATATGTAAATATTTATACTGAAATGATTCCATACAGTGCAACTGGCATGGGGCCTATAAAGACTGATGGTAGAGGAGGTGAGCATGGATATTTATCACAAGTGCCCTTCTCCCACAGCTGATTTTGGCCCATCAAATGTAATGGTGAGCACACAAGACCCAACCTCACTACACATATTGGCTGTCTAACAGCTTGTGTGGGAGTACTCAGATGTCGATGTACCCATTGCACCCCTCATTGTGACAGAATTATGGCTTCTATGCCTCTTCCATTCTCCTATTCAGACAAAGAGTATAACCTGGAAGAGATGAGGTCTCCCATGGGTGTACCACTGTGGAGCCCTTGCCATCAGACGTCACACCTCCTGGACTTCTTTCAGACACTTTCTGAAGTGATTTCATATAGGTAATCTTTGCACCAGTCAATCCACCATCTCAGTGTGGGATTCTAGCTATTCAATATACAGAGATGAGTATTCATTTCAGAAGTTAACATTTTCCTTGCCTGAAAATGTATTTTTGAGACATACATCCTTACCTATTCCCATCCTTCATCTGCACTTTGTAGTGTATGTTTCTTCATTGCCTAGTCAAAGAATGAGAATTCATGAGAACAAAGTATAGGGGAGTCATTGTACATAAAGGTATGTCACACTCCTACTGGTAGAGACTTTTGCTGCATGATGATGTCATCATGAAGTGATGACAAGTTTAGGTGGTTTCACCTGAGATTAAGTGGGGATTTTCACAAAGCTGGTAGCTTTGGCAGAATGCATAAACACAAGGAAAATTGCTATTCTATGTACAGGGGTGAGTATGTATTGGAAATGCATTTTCAGGTAAGGAAAACGTTATATTTTCTTGCCAGGTTTTTCACATTACATATACTAAGTCTGGGGTTATTCACTGGTATGTTTCATGAGTTATGTTTCCTTCTTTTTGTACAAGGCTTATACTCACACAGAAAGGAGCATATTGATAAAATATAATAAATTAATTATGCTGTGCATTCTTCTAATTTGTATTTATTTCAAAATTAAAACGGTTCTTTATCTTGTATTTCTTCTTTAAAATCTGTGAAACTTGTACTTTGATATCTGTTTTCATTTCTTCTGAGCATATGTTGGCTTAGTTTATTTGTCACTTTTTATCCTATAATATCCAGAAATATTTGTCTTGTTTTTTTTTCAAATTCTGAGAAGTAAGCTTGAGGGTGGGAGGGCTTGAAATGCTAATTTTTGAGTTTGATCCCTGTAGTGATCACAGTATAGACGGACCTTTGTGTTTAAACAAAGCAGATGTTTTTCAATTGGGTAGTGAAGTGTTTTTTAACTACTTTGGTAATTCTCAAATTAAAATATGATAATAGATTATGTGTGTGTCTTGACTGGCCTTAGATAATTAACTAACATTCAAATTTTGGGTGATAAATGACTTTCGAAATTCAATTCACCTAAGTGAAATCTCTTGTTCAATTGTATTAACCTTCCAGTTATCAGTAAAGGAGTATTCATTGTGACTTTTTAGATACAATAAATCTTATCAAATGAATGAGAAGGAAGTGTAAATTTTGGAAATTAGTTAATTGATCACTGTGGTAGCATACCTTGAAAATATGGAAATGTTTTTGGTTGGTTTTGTAAGGGAATGCTAGGCATTACATTGACACTAACAATTTATAAATAGTGGAATACTTGGAGAAATATTTAACAAAATTTTAAAGACAGTCTGGAAATTAAGATTGAAAGAATTCTAATTCATATTAGAAAAATATTTGTATAAATTAATGAATTTTCCACCTTTGTACAAGTTTATAAAACCATCAGTATACAAATAGATTAAAAGTTTGGTGATTAAATACCAGTTGTTGTTATGCTTGCTAATATGTATGACCCCTTGAATCTGTTTATTAACTAGTTAATCTTTTTTTATTACTAAAATCTTATTACTGGTCTTTTAAACAGACTAGTATATAATATCTAAAAATAGTTATTACTAATTAATCAGTGATTTGGGTGATTGTATAAGCTACTAACATTGACAATAGGCACTGTATAAGTTCATGAAAATTCACCATTGGAGAGTGTGGGTTGGTCTTGTGGTCAAGCTCCGAATTTCCGAACTGTGCAATCCCACAAAATATTCCTGCACTTTAAGCTGTGTGTGTGCATTACAAGTGTGACAAGCAATACCTTAAAGTTGGTGGTATGGTCTGCTGACTGGTTTCTGTCCCTCTAGTTAGTATGTCAAAATTATTGTTAATGTCATATAGTCCTAGCTTTGTCATAAATACAAATGAAAAACTTCCACCATTGTTCAAGTTTGATAATGAAATCTGATTACTCAACAATCTAGTAAAGTTCCATCACTGTACACAATATGGAAATGATCATTACATTAAAAGTACATGCATCTTACACAAAAATAAAGTGTAACAGTTTTTTTATGATTTAAACAATGATTCAAAGTGTAGATTCAAACAAATATTTTTTTCCTCCACAGAATGTTTTGATCCAGATAGGTTTGAAAGTTGTGTCTGTTGATGGAATGCTGATAAGAAATGCTAAAACTTTTATTCTACGTTGTCATGCATGTTTCAGGTGAGATTTATCCTTCTGTTTTATATTTTATATTGTAATTTTAAGAAATAGCAATATTCTTTATGGTAAAAATAAACACATTTATAGGGTATATGATACATAATCTTGTATAGAATGTGCTACTGTTTATTTAGTAACACAAGAAGAAATATTCACAATACATGCAATACTAGCCAAGAAAATACAAATTACTCTAAAAAAAGTAAGTTAAGAATTGTTTTCAAATATCCATATAGAATTTTTCATGAATACTTTCTTACTTAACTGAATATATTGTTGAACATATTATTAAGAACTAACTTAAGGTAAACTATATAGATCACAATTAAAATAACTTAGAAATTAATGAAGGCAACCCTTAATAACAAGCAGTAGAAATACGTAATGTAGTATGTGAACACCCTGAAAATTAAAAGCTTTAATGATTGAAATTAATTTTTGGATTCTTGTTCCTAATTATATTTTTGTCCTCAATACCATATATTGATTTGTTTTCTTGCCTCAAGGAACTCTGGCATAAAACCCTTGTGCATAATTCATCACATACTGACAGCTTTTTTTAACAAATCTTTTATGCATAGCTCATCACTTACTCACCTGAAACATATATTACTGAAATTTTCCCTGTCTTACAGAACACTTACTGAAAGCTTGTATAGTTAAACAGTGATTCAAAGTTTGTATGTTTATCATAATTCCTACTGTAAATGTGTGTATAATGTCTGACTTGTTAATGACAAATAACTGAAATATTTCTGAAACTTTTATTTACTGATGATTTTACAACATAACTGACAAGTTTCAGAATGTAGAACATCATTCTTTTACCTCGAATAACATCAACATGTATTTTAGACCTTTTTTTTTCATTCTAGGACAACAAGCAACATGGACAAGAAATTTTGTCCAAATTGTGGGAATCAAACCTTGAAACGAGTTGAAGTCATTGTGAATGAAAATGGCACTAAAACCTTGCGTATAAACTTCAAAAAACCAATCAACATCAGAGGAACAAAGGTTTGTACTAGTTGCTAGTTAAATGTGTTTTTTGAAGCACTGCCCAGCTACCAGAACTTTTGCTAATGATGAACTAAAAATAAGTTATTATAATCTAAACTCGTGAAGCTGTTGAATGTTCTTGCCTGTTCAATAATAACATGCCTTACTAAATGATTAATAATAAACTTATTAATTAGCAACATCACATAAAAATTATGATAATCTAAGTTTCCGAGGCACACGAGATAATGAAATTACCTCTAACTAGAGATAGCTGATATATAGGATTTTTATTATTATTATTGTGAAATAGAATTTATCATTTATCTCTCCAGGATGAATTATCATCTTTATGTACAATACAAAAATTTGTCAAATTATTGTAATGATTTTTACTTTTTAGCCATATTCAATCAAATCATTTTGTATCCTAAACTGATTTCTGTTTTGATTTTTCATATGAAGTGACCTTTGAGTAAAAACAGTGACATTTATTCATTAATATGTCTATCACATAGCTTGCTGCATTTATGAAATATTCTACCTCAGTGGTAGAAAAATAGTTAGTAAAGAAAAATATATACATATTGGTAAAATGTAAATGATTTACTACATTCAGAATTAAGGAACATCACAATGTTGATATTCTAGAATACTTACATGTAAGAATAATGGCTGTTACGATAACATCTGATGTCCATTGTTAGGAAGTTTGCTTATCATCAACCACAATAGTGGTTCATAATAGGGATCACAAGGAATTGCACAAAACCCTAATAGAACATTCATGCAAAAAAGAACTTCAAACAGTAAAGATTCAGTTTAAACAACACTTTAAAACCTTTACTGTTGACTGCTAAAGCTATACACATATAAAAATGTACAAAAATGCATGAATGTTAGACTTAAGAGGAAAATAAAATCTGCTCAAAATAGCCTGTTTGTAATTATTATTCTCTTGCCAGCCTACAACAAAAATGGCTTGGTATGTTGCACCCAAACCTTTTGTACAATACTAAATAAGGTACTATGAAGGTCGTAGAGGTATTAAAAAGTTTATTTGTTTCTTCCATATTTAACATAAGCTAAAAAACATCATAATTCTAGTGTAAATGATGTTATCATTACCTCTTTACAAATATCTGGTGTTTCTTTAAAAAGCTTAAGTACAGGTTAAAACAGGAATTACCAGCCAATAATTGATAAACATTAGATGACTAACATGTAGATACTTAATGCATTGTACACATTACAATCAATGTCTATAGGGATGTTGGATATACAAGACTGTTCAGCTTAAGGGTTATTATTTAGTGATTTAATATTTAATGATCATTTAGTTTTCATAACAAGAATGTTAAAAGTTAATTATTTTAAAAGTGATAGTTATGACAAGTTTCATTATGTAACTATACGAGTCATACATTGTATAGTTTAATTGTTTTACTAGGATTTTGTAATACTGTTGACATCATTTTACTGAAAGTTTCTAAGTTTTCTCATTATGTTTAATATTGTAAGTAGGTAAGGGCTAAGTATTTCTAGATTTTTCTGTCACATGTTAGTATCACAAGCAACAATACAGAA